TTTTGTTGAGACCCCACGCATCTTGGTAAGTTGTCGCCACGAAAGGGCCTTCTCCGATTGGGAGAACGTTAGTTCTCCTGGTCTGCACAACTGCCATGGGCTAAGCTAGGAGTTTGGAATTTTAAGTTAAATGGATATTTTAGGGTAAAGTGATACCATACTAACAATACAGGTATTAGCCAAAAGCCCATACACGCGTGTTTCGCCGATATTCTACCGCTGCATGGCGCAGCTGAGAGGGCTTTGCCTCGTCGGTGGGACTTCCAGCATTCCCCGTCTGTTTTCTGGTAGATACTCTAATTTAGAAAATGTCGTTTTTTACTTTTTTCAGAACTCATCTACGAACTTGGGGTAGATCAGGATATTCATGGTCTATAGGCACAGACCGAGAATTTTATGTATGAATATTTGGACCGAAGTCCATCAGCTACAGCGGATAGCTGCGTAATATTTACTAGCTGCCGACAGGCAGCTGGTTGTATACTGTAGGGTAGGGTGAAACCATACCAACAGCCTAACAGCTTTTGGCTAGTACCTGTGCTGTTCGCATGGTATACTACTAACTGCCTGTCGGCAGGTAATGAATATTGCGCGGCTATCCAGGGTGGCTGATGAACTTCGGCCCAAATATTCACACATAAATTTCTCGGTCTGTGCCTACTGACCTTGAATAAACTGATCTACTCCAAGTTTGTAGATAATTTCTGAGGAAATTAAAAAGCGATATGTAAATGGATTTATTTCACCACCTAAATGTATATAGGTGGATTAGCGAAGAAGTGCTACTTAACAGACGTAGACTTATTTGAATGACAGTGAACTTTCAAACTCATTTGGCTGCAGGAATAAAGATTTTATAGCATTTGAGATACTGAATAGGCGTCATGTGTGTGTTCAATTCAAACACTGACACCGTCTCGTAAGTGGCCTTACAACCGTAGGACAGGCGTGTTTAAATTATGACGGAAATCTTTGATGGAACCAAAAAAGTTGTCACATTGTCCATCTTTATGTAAGAAAGCGGACCAACCATTACAATGTTTTCTAGAGAAAGGTGAAATAGACAGTTAGAAGTTTTGTCCTGCTTTTTAGCTTGCTAACAAAACATGCGATCGCATATTTACGAGCAAAGTTACGATATCCTTTTTTAAATCATCTAACGCACTCGCCGTCGCCACAACGTCTATCTGCGATAACTTTGTTGAGTCCTCCAATCACACCTTCTGATTGTATATGAACGGTTGTCCTCTCTCTCAGTTAACCCAAGTTGAAGACATTCGACTGAAATTCACGCATGCACGTTCGCTGCCAGCCAACATCCGGAAGTTGCCAAATTAATTAAATGAAGGCATGTTTTAGAAGACCAAAACGAGAACTTTATTTTGGTTACCACAGATGCCTGCGTCAACTGGTACAGAATGCAATCCGACTACGACAGTATGTTTAGTCTGTTGCGCTTGGCTTCATAGGAAATAGGTCGATGCAAGAAGCAGCCATGCTTTGACGATTGTTGGTCCGTACACTATAAAATGGACAGCATTTTAAGCAGGTTACAAGGTACAACTGATCATTCATCTCAGGAATTTTCAATTTCAGTCCGTTCCAATCGCAACTTGCTGAAAACCATCACGAGGATCCGCAGATCATTTACTGAATACAAATTTACCAAAGACTCTACTTAAAAGGCAGCTTCAAACAAATGAGCAGGGAAGCCCTTAAATGCCTTTGACTCACGTGTCCCTGAAGACGACTTGTCTGTTATAATCCTTGGAGCTGAAATAAATTTTCACATTATTCCATAGCCGCAAAAAGGCCCACACGAATACATGAGGCCCATCCACCTCAAAATATGTGTCCAAAAGATCAAAATATTATTACAAAGTTTGTTCCAGGCAAAGAAACTTAATTTAAATGCGAACGATGCAAAAGCAATCCCAATTTTTTAAATTATCTTTGTGGGTGATGGACTACGGCACAAATATTTATGCATAAAACTTTTCGTCTGCGCCTATAAATCTAAAATATGCTGATTTACTCCAAGTTCGCCGTTCATTTCTATGAAAATTAAAGAGCAACAACTCATCTATTGTTGCATATTCGCTTCAAGAAGTGCCTACTGCACTCTTAAGTGAAATGGACCTAGTTTTTTTATTTTTATAAGTCAGCAATAAGATAGCAAACAGGTATTTAAGAAGCGGATTTTTAGAAAAATTAAAAATTCAGATTTAATATTTGCAAGTCTTCATAGTTAAACAGAAATGAAGACGGATGTTGGTGGCAATTCTATGAAATTAGGCGTTTTTACAATGCCTAACATATATTTTATGCACTTAATTTGATGAATCACAAAGGTATCGTCGAGGGGAGCATTTGCGTGCGACTGCCAGAAAATAGCTATCAAATCGTTTTAATTCACCTATTGTTGGGTGTAAATGACAGGCGCTGATTGCTGCCGCGGAAGCTGAAATAGATGTATTTGTGAATTTTCAGAACAAAAAGAGGGGTCCTGAAATTGCATGCAAAAGACACATCGCCGTAAGTAATGTAGAGAAGTCATGAGGCATTTGTGAATGTAGGTAAAACAGCGAAGGCTAAGAATGAAAATTTGATCGAATTTTTATCTGGTTAAATGCATGAGAAAGAAGTCTTGAACATTTGGTCAGCTTTCTTCGAGGCGCCGCGAAAGATCGATATGCTAAATATTTGCTAACGTACGAAATAGAACACCGTTTTAATTGTTTTCACTTACCGTTTGAAGGATGTAAATGAGAGGCATTGCCCATTGTCGCGGTAGCTGAAATAAATGTGCTCATGAATTTTCAGCGTAGAGAGTAAAACCCAAAAGAATTTTTATTTGGTCAACGGTTTGAAAGGGGCGTCTAAAAAACTTGATGAAAAGGCCTTGGTTTGCCCCCAAAGTTTTACATGCGAAACATTTGCAAACGTGTAAATGGCAAACCATTGCAATCATCTCAAGTCACCGTTTGTTTCGTGTATATATGAGGCCCCGATTATGGATGCAGTAACCAAAACAAATGAACTTATGTATTTTCAGCTCCTAGAAGACGATCCAGAGTTTGCATTCAAAAGACACATCACCATGAGTAATGCATCGAAATCACAAGGCGTACCGTAGGTGGGCTATCTCATGAAATGTCAACCGAAATTCCGAAATGCATTTTCGTTTCGAAAAGATTAA